AGCTGGCCCTCCCACACCCCGTCACGGTTGGCACCCTCTTGGGGAACTGGGGGGCCCCTCGGCAGGACCAGCCACGCGGCCGCCGGGCCCCAGTTCTGACCTTTGCACGAATTTTTTTCCGGAGAAACAAAAGCCTCATTGATCACAGTTGACACCGGGCGGTTCCGTGCTTGCCGTGCGGTGTGGGTTGTGACCTGTCTTTGCCGCAATCGAGATAATGAGCCCCTGCCCGGCCTCAGGCCAGCCCCCCCCCCTTCCTCTTTGTTCGGGGCTGGAATGTCTTTGTCTGGTTTTGGCAGATCAGGGAGTCTTGCCTGGCAGGCAGACTGTGGGCCCAGCTGCTCCCCACGTGTCTGGGGGGGCTTCCCAGCAAGGCCTCCTGGGCTTCCCGTCTTTGTGGGAAGAATGAAACTCTAAGGTCAGTTTCTCCAGCGAGTGAGGCGGGTCTGGGAGCCGTGGGCAGGGGCTGGGAGCCGTGGGCACTGCCCTCACCAGACCCGGCCCAGGCTGTTGGACTGTCATCAGGTTGGTCCTGGGACTCACCGCGTCCCTGAGGCTGGGCAGGTGCCTCTTGGCTCCTTCACCTGCAGGCGACTCTGTTTCATTGATCTTTGCAAACCGCCGGCTGCTCTGCTTCCTTTATCATCTCCTTCCTTCTGTGCAGAGGCCACAGCCCCCCTGGCTGCACACACACCGGCCAGGGCTCAGCTGGACATGCAGCCCCGGGGTCCCCGCTCCGTCCTGCAACCTCCAGCTCCCGGCTACCCGGATGCACAGCCCTCCCTTCCGGCCCCCGGAAGCTGTGCTCCCCTCACTCGTTTCAGTCTCGGGGATCCTGCGCCGTTGACCGAGGGACAGGGCCTTGAGAATGGGGGTTCGCGCAGGGGCCAGCTTCCTGGTCGTTTCAGGCCGTTCACTCCCTTCTGGGGGGAGTTTTTAACCCTCATCCGGGGATGTGTCTTCATTGATCTTAGAGAGAGGAAGGCGGGGGGGGCGGGGGGGGAGAGAAACATCGACCGATTGCCTCCGTTATGTGCCCCCACCGGGCATCGAACCCGCAACCTGGACGTGTGCCCTTCCCGGGCCAGGACGACACTCCGGCCAACTGAGCCACGTCAGCTGGGACGAGGTAATTTTTAAAACCTTCTTTAATTCTCCCACAACGACGTGTGGTGAGAAGCAAGTAGCAGTTAGAACACAGTTCCCTCGGCCAAGTCGGGATGAACAGGAAATGAGGATCGCGTTTCCCGTCCTCCTCGCGCCTGTGGGCGCCGGCGGGAAATTTAACTGCAGCTGCTGTGCAAATGGCCCCACGAGTTCCCGCCGGACCCACAGGGGGTGCGGCCCACGCCCTGGGCGATGCTGACCCGCGGCAACCGGGGCTGGATGGTGCCTGGTTGGCTGGTCCTGGGAGAGGCGAGCCCTCCGTCTGGTGGTCTGTCCGTCCGTGGCACGGGGCTGCCTCCCCCAACAGAGGCAGAGCTGGACAGTGGGAGAAGCCACGGCATCACACGTGGCTCTGGGAGACTGTGGCTCCCGTGGCTCCCGTAGCTGGGGCCCAGGCTCTGTGGCCTCAGTCCCTGCCCTCCGAGCTGTCGGGGGCGAGAGGCGTGAGGGGGGGCGAGCCGGAGAAGGCTCCGTGCTCCCACTGCGGGGGGAGGGGGCTCACAGGGCTGGGGCGCTGGGCACCCTGCAGCCTCAGGAGGTGATAGAGCAGCCGTGGTGTCAGCCAGGCTGGGCCCCAGGCACCCGATGACCAGTCTCTTCAGGCCCCTCGAGCTTCCTCTGCTCGGAGGCCCCGCTGCCCTCACCAGACCCGTCAGGGCCGATTGCCCGGGAGCTGCGAGTGGCCCCCACGCCGTGGGGCGGGAGGCCGCGGGCTGGGGAGGCGCTGCGTCGCCCCAGAGCGCAGCAAGGACGCCGTCCTGCCCTTGGTTTCACAACAGGCTTTAATGTTTTGTGCTCGTTGAATCTGCTCATGGCAGAAAAGTGCGAAAACAGGGATAAACACACCAAAAACAGTACATTCTCATCATTAAAGGAAACTGTTACCATGTGGTCAGATGTGCACACCCGTGCAGTGTGGACGCTCACGTCGGTGTGAGCGCGTCTCCGCGTCTGCCTGTCTCACGCCCGGTGCTCATCAGCAATCGCTTGTCCACCGGCTCCCGTGTTCCTGTCTGTCCTCCCTCCCTGCATCTGTCTGCTGTCACCTGCCTGTCCCTGCCTGTGTGTCTGTCACCTACACCTGTCGTCTCCTATCACCTTCTGTCCGTCACCTGTCACCGCTCTGTCTCCTGTCTGTCTCCCATCTGCCATTTGTCCATCTTCTGTCCCAAACGCTGGTGGTGACAGGTGTCTGGGCCTGTCCGGGGGCAGGTGCCGGCGACCCGGTGGCCTGGCCCGGGCAGTGGGAGGCCCGCTCCTTCACAGAACGGCCACGCAGGACGCTTTCGTCCGGAATTGCGTTTGTCTCACCAGATTCCTAGGGTGGCTCATTTCCTAGCTTCCGCTTTCCTGCTCCTGTGGACGGACCCAGCTGCACTGCGTGTGGTTGTGGGGTGGCTTGAGGGCCCATTTCTGCCACCTGCCCCTCCAGCCAGTGCGACAGGCGCCGCCCCCAAGCCTGTCTGACGGGCTGCGGTGGCCCCATCCATCAGGGCTCCCCGCTCGGGGCTTCCCTGCCGCCCACCCTCCTGCCCCTCCCGCCCCCCTCCCCGCGGGTCCCATCTGCATCTGTAGGTGCCTCTGTGCGTCCTCCGGGCCTGGCCAGGGAGCAGCTGGGACAACGGAAGCTATTGTTTTGTTCTGACCTCCTCTGGGCAGCAGGTTCCAGGGCAGAGGGCAGTGGGCTGTGGGGTGTGGACTGGCATGGGGGTGGGGTGCAGTGGGCTGCGGGTGCCGTGGGATGTGGGGTGCAGTGGGCTGTGGGGTGCAGTGGGCTGTGGGGTGCAGTGGGCTGTGGGGTGCGGAGTGCTATGGGGTGTGGACTGCCGTGAGGTGACATGGGTGCAATAGGCTGTGGGGTGCAGTGGGCTGTGGGTGCAGTCGGCTGCGGGTCTCGGGGTGCAGGGTTGGCCATGAGCTCACAGGGCGTGGCCTCTGACTCTGAGCTGACCGTAATTGATATAAACAGGAAACAGCACCGGGTCCTCAGTGCCTTTCAGATGCGGTTCCTCAGACCAGCACCCCCCCCCCTCCGCATGCGCAGCGCCTGACCTGCCTCTGAGGCCCCCTCTGCGGCCGGGCGGGTCGCACCCTTCTCCCCACGTCTGGTCCTGCTTCAGGGCCACGCGGGAATCCAGTCCCTCAGTGAATGGGGGGCGGGGGCATCGCTGGGAGCTCAGATTAGCATTTTCTCTTTCTGTGGGAGGAGCAGCAGCGGCCGTGGGGG